AGATCATATGTCAAAGGTTTGTGGCTGGGTTGGTGTCCTAGTCCTGCCACTGGAAATTCTGCCGGGTTACAGAAGATGGCCACTTCAAGTTTCGTGTCCTCCATCCCTAGAGTCCTCAACACGGCCGCCTTCAGAATGAATGGTCATCCCCACTTAAAAAGGGGGGCTGTTATTCTCACCCTTGAAGAATACTGCTCCCCATGAACTCTCGTTTTTTGTTATTAGAATATTAATGATCACTTTTTATAGTCATAATTTTGTGGATTTTTGAGAGCACAGATATTTGAATTTTACCCTACAACAATCACTAGCATTGATTCAAATAACTTTAGTTAATACAAGTGTTAGAAGGAACAGAATTCTGCTTTAGTGGTGATATCTGGGTCTTGTTTCTTTTTAGTGATGTTAATGAACACAGAATAATCTGCTTTAAACACACTGTATGGTAGTCATGATCATAATACTGTAAAATCTTAATTTAGGTTCTGTAAAATCATACTTAACAGTGTAAGTTATACAGAAAATTAAAGTTAAAAATAAAACCTTAGTTTAATAAAGCATTATGTATTTTCTTCTCTCATGTATGTTATTTTATTTGTATAACTGTGTAATAGGTTGCAAGTGTGTTCTTTATTTTGTAAAGAAGAAAATTATGGTTCAGATGAGATATATTTCTGTGAACTATTCTAAAACAGGGAGAGTGGAGAAGTGTTTTATTTTGTTCTGGGGGTGGGCTCTCTCCATTGCCAGCATTCAGAAGCCACTACAGCTGTGGTCCAAAATACCAGCCACTTCTCAAGTTGGCAGCAGAACTGGTATTGTGTTCTGCTATAGTTTTCAAATATGCAGAAAGCTAGTGTTCTAGTTACTGTGATAAAAACATGCTGACCCCTGAAGAGGGATGTGTCTTTTAGGTTCCACTTCCACTTCCATGCCATTATCCAAAAGGAGAGATATGGCAGAAACTCAAGGTCAAAAATATAGAGGAACATGGCTTTGTTGGCTCTCACTCTGTCTTAATCACCTATCTTTCTTACACAGCCCAGGACTAACTCTTGAGTGATGGTGCCACCCATAATGTGCTGGATTCTCCTCAGATCATTGATCAGTCAAGACAGTCTCTCACAGACATGGCCACAGACTTGATCTTAACAATCACTCAGTTGAGATGATACACTCATACACATGTATGTTGCAGAATATTATTTTAAGATGTGTGACATTTGTTTATGCTGTGGAATATTTGTTTAATGATGCAAAGATGTGTTGCATTATTTGTGTTGCATTTGTTTAACTCTGTGAAGCTGAGTTACTGTGTCTGTCTAAAACACCTGATTGGTCTAATAAA